AAAAGTCTCACTTTCCCTATCAAGTCCTTACTTGCTTTGTGGAGATGATTTAAAATGCCTTTAAGGATAATTAAACTGGGAGTCCCATCAGAGTTTCACTAACACACAATTTTAGCTTTCATATCATGGTGTTTTACAAATAATATAGAAGAGCTTTTCCACATTTCCATATGACCTTTTATTGATGTGCAACATATTTTCAACAAAAATTAGTTAGCTCTATGAAAGTTTCAAAACAAGCAGCGATATTATTCTACCCAGAATCTCTGGGTCTGAGGTACTAATAAAAAAAAGCATCCGCATTTAAAAGGAAACTGTACCTTTCAGCCACAAACAGTGTTATTTTTAGGAACCTGTCACCAAGGACTGTAATTATGAAGAGAATTCCACCAGGTCCACTTCTCTCTCTACCTTAGATTGGTTGTTAAAACTAAGTATGTGTTTTTATGTTGTCAAAGAATATTTTAATAAAATGAGAATAGTTTAGAAGATTAAAGAGAGTCATTTAGGAAAATTCATGACTCAAAAGAAAATACAGTAAAACTGATTTTTTTTTTTTAATTTCAGAAGATGTAATTTAATTTTGTGAAGTGTTTGTTAATTTTTTAAGAGCACCCTGCTACTTACAAAGCATAGAAGCAATGAAGTTGCACCTGCCAAAACTACCACAATGTGATGATTCAGCCTCTGCCAGTTTGATCACAGTGATTTAAGCAGCAGTTTAGTTCACTTACTTAATGATAGAATCTTGGATTCTTCTGACTGAAGAAGTTTTAGAGTCTTGCTAAAAACCAGCTTATTTAGCACCAATATAGCTATCACAAAACCACCAAACTAAATTCGCTCAAAAGGAAAGATCAAGTGATGAGGAATGACAAAAGTCAAACTGAAGTGCTTACACTGTCCAGGCAGAAAAAGGAAACCACTCTCTTTAAGATACATTACTCTGTTTCCTTTCAGAACTCTGTAAAATGGAATATTAAAACCTGTGGAAGAGGCTATTAAGCATGCCCCATACACTTAAGCACTGTGCACAATATAACACAGACAGGAATTAGCATATTTACATAGAATGTGGGTTTATTGTTTTATAGAAATAATGGGTAACAATCTTTTTCTACACTGAAAAGAGCAGATAGAATTATGAGGAAATAAATGAACTGAAGAGTAAACTGAAAGGGAGACAGAACACTCACTGCTCAATTACTTCACTGAGATGTTGAGAAAAAAGTCAAGATGAAGGGAGGAGCACTTTTATTTACTACACAGAATGGAATATGATGTGGCAGGTTCAAATAACAACTAGTCAACATTTATTTGATATTTGTGAGAAAGAGCAAGCTAAACAGCCACCTGCTTAGTAAGTACCTTTTGCAATAACAAATGTGCTTTACCTATTGAACTCTGGTTTGTTACAAACACATAAAAATGTATTTCCTGAGCTAGAAGAAAATCACAAATATTTTTTGTCATAATAAATCACATAGTGTAACCAGAAAAACAACAAAAAAAACCCCAAAAATCAAAGTGCAGGCTCTGAATATTTGGAAATAAGAATAAGTACATCTGAAAAAGTTCCATTAGATACCACAGACATGAATTCTAAATCTTTCAGTAAAAAGCCACCAATGTTAGAAAATGAATGAATTAGACAAAGCCTCAAGTACTGAACAAGTAAAGAGATTCTAGGGATCTAAACTCCAAACACATTGGAGGCAACTGTGACAGAAGAAATCGCTTCAGCAGTTGTTACAAAAACAAAGCCTTCTTCACTCAAGATCATCTCATTTCACTGCATCTTACCTGGTAACACTTTCAAGTTAACACTGTCAAGTTAAATAGATTAAACTGGATTCTACCCTGCCTCACACACTAAAAATCCTGTCAAGCAAGCAGACTAAGTTTTAACACTGCAGGTGCATGTACCTACATATGCACACATCACATATGTGTGAGTGCGTGCAGTGTTTTCAATGTCATTTCCTTCAGGATATTGAACAACAACCAAAACCAGCAACTGGTGTTTCAAATTTTTAATCATAATTTCAGAAGGGCAGAAAACTTCTTTGTCGAAAGCAAAACTGAGTTTATGGACAAGGAAAAACATTCTTGAACAAAAAAAAAGTAGTAAGATCAAAATGACACATTAAAATCCATTACATTTATCTGAATTTTAACATTTTAGCAATACCATCCACAAAGATATCTAAAAATAGGCACATAATTTGACTCGTCATCAGGCTAAAACCAAATAGTTGTCACTTTTTAACACAACTAAGAAAAATCTTTTGACCTAATCAAAGTCTGAGACTCGGCTCAAGAATAACAGTACAATAAAACATTAGAGACTGCCACCTAGTGCCTATGTTAAGCATCACTAAAGTACAAACATTTCAACTTCAGACTATACTTTAAAATATTATTTCTTGTGCAACTAGACTAGCATTTGCTCTAATCAGAACATACATTTGTAAATTATGCATCTAACAGCCCTTCACATATAAAAGACAATATTAAAAACACTAATTCAAGCAACTCTGTTAAAAAAAAAAAAATAAAAAATCAGTAACCGTAAATCAAGTTTAGGGAAACCTGGAACAAAAACCCTGAAGTCTTTCTTCATTCAGGAAAAAAATTACAACACTAATACAAATGCTCTTTTTCTTTCAAGCTACATTTAAGGCTTACAAAATCAGCTTTACTGTAAAGTAGCAAATTCTATGAAGGAAATTAATTCTATCCAATTTTTTATGCCTATGCCAGAAAGGCAAACTAAAAATCCTATGTATTAGCAACTACTTCTTAGTATTGATCTGAACAGGAAAGCAAGGAGTTAAAATCTAAAATTTCTTAATATTCTGATTAGTTTTCCTCTCTAAGATTTACTCTCCAAGATTCTTCAAAGGAAAGAAAAGAACACATTTTATTCAGGGATCCTTTTGGTAAAGTTTACCAAGAAAATAAGGAAAATTTTTATTGTTAACAAACAAACAAAAACACCAAAAAACTTCTGTTTCAATATCAAAAAGTTTATCAAAAGACATGGGCCAAGTCAGTCAGCCTTAGAAATTTTGAAACAATGTTCAAATAGATGTTAGATAAAAGAACAAAACTGTAAGGTAAGGTTACATCTCTGTCCTTTACTAACCTGAATATGCCTAAGTGGTGCTGTTATCAAACTGTTGTGTCTGAAGGAAGCAATGATGACAGTTAGTGACTAGTGGCAAAGCTTAAAGGTCCCACACACACCCCTTTGCTTTGGCTAGTTTAGACCAAAACTTCTATTTTACAGTGGAAGAAGTCATCGGTAGTCCGAAAGGCACAGAAAGGCAATAAAATGAAGCACACACATAAATGGAGAAACATTATTTAAGGGTATCAACACCTTTCTTTTGAATCAACTTACCGTAAGCCATAGCATGGCAAAGTGATGAACCGGAACATTGCCAGAAAGACTCTCAAAGGAAGCAGGGTGAATACATAGAGAAAAGCATCCAGGCACAAAAAGATTCCAAAAAACATCAACTAAATTACAAAAATAAAACAGAATTATGTTAGTAGTTTATAAAGGGTTACGAAAGTTCATAAAGAATTATTTTATGAAAAATACATTTGCATAAGGCTAATTTACCAAATAAGCACAATACTCTCACTTGCTCAATCAGCTGAACTGTAACAAAAATTAACATGCTATGCACTTTGAAGACTATTCAGCAAAAATTCTGCACCACAAGGTCCAAGCAGCAAAGGCTTTTGCAGACTCTCACAGCTCACCGAACTCAGTCTTTATTTAATAGACGAACTGCGCTTGGATATAACTGTAGCTCATTTTCCAGTGGTGACTTTCCTCTAAGGTTACAAAAATTCATGTTTTAACCTTAGAGGAAAAAAGCTGTGCGTAAATGTGCACAGCCAGTTTTCAGTATTACTCCTCCATTTTTTTATTACCTGGTAAATTTTCTACTGCATAGCTAATTACAGTTTGGTAGATCTCTTTCAGGGCATATCCACCTTTTTCATATAAGAATATAAACTATGAAGAGGTAAATTTCCCATTGCCCTTCATTTAAGTGCTTTATCCTTAAATTTACAGAAACAGTTAAAGCCATTTCACTATAGCCCCAAGGTAAGCAACTCTATGATAATTAAACTAGACCTAAACTCTACAAATTGAAAGCTCTTATATACTAGACTCTCTCCACATAACATTACTTCTTTATCTGATCTTTGGATGATTCTATGAGTCTACCTGAATGGGATTCTAGGCACATGCCTTTGTACTGTCAGACCAGGAGCTAATATATTTTCTTTCAAGGATAATCATGTAAAAAAGCAAGCTTATCTTACTACACAATTAAGACTAGCAACATCTAAGTAGGCCTAATGTCCACGACAGATACGCATTTACGTGTGGAAGTTGTATGTACTGCTGATGAGAAAGGTAGACACTGGGGTAGTGGGTGTGCATAAACCAAAGTACAAGGAAATTACTTTTATCTCCCACAAGCCTTTCAAAATACCTTCTTTGTGCAACAGCCACATCAGTGTCCAAGGAGCTACATATCACCGATGTGCGCCCTTCTCTCACTCTTACTCCTTGTGCATCCTGGTAACTTTGACAGCAATCCTACGGACTGCACTCCAGTGCATCTATCCATAAGCCACATTAAGATGACTGGCTTGGGCACAACAGCACTGCTGTCATTCCTGAGTTGTTACTTTCCCTTATAATATTATTTCAACTAATTCTGCAGTGGTAGAATATCTCAATACCATCATTAAGGTCTCTTCCCTGACATTCACTCATTTGCCTCTAATACCATATTCTAAAATTTCAGCAGAGAGTTATCATTTAAAGTTATCAGGAGCAGTGTTACATGAATGGTGGATAAATGTATGCAGTGCATTAATATGCTATTAAGCAACCTATTTCTTTGCTAACTTTTAAACCAGGTGCTGAATTTTCAAGCACTGGGGATGACCAGAGCTGAACACTTACCTTTTTTTTTTTTAACTCCTTAACCCAAGCAAAACAAAAAGATAGCCTGTCATTTTGCCTCTCTGTTCTTTCAGGACATTTTTATAATCTCAAAAACAACACTGCATTTTCTCTTAGATTTAGACAGACTTCTTCTCTGCCTAAGTGTAATGACGGTTTTTCACGTTCTGTAAGCTTGTGTTAATATTTGCAATTGTTGTTTAATGTCCTCTTCTTCCTAATTTTTTTACTACAATGCACTTGCACATTTACATGCACCCATTTAAATATAATCAGTACTGAACCTTCCAATCCTTTCTGTAAACATTATTTTTGCTGCTACATTCCAGATACTGAGGAAGTAACAGAAAAGCTTACAGAGCTTTTCCATCATCATAACTATAACTTAGAAAAAGAGCACAGTTTAATTTTGAGATCAACTAACAAGTCTTCCCTTAAGATGGCAGGAAGAGAGATCACCTTTTCATTTAGTATAAATACCCTACTACAAGGAAAAGTTTCCACTGAAATTGCACAAAAAGCTTGAGTGGAAGTAGCACTTATATTGTAAATTATCTAGTTTCCCCAAAGAAAAAGGGTAGTCAGAACAACAAATACAATAATACTGCCCTTTTAACATCACACCCCACTCTAAACGATGGGAATGTAATAAGTGCATGTTAAATAATATCTCCCAATATTAGGCTTTGATAAATTTACTCCAATTTATTCTCACTATCTGATTATAATTTTCATTCTTATTCTGTAATTATACTACTAGGTAGAAAAAGCCATTAAGAAAATTCTTCTGTTCCTTTTCTAGTGTTTAACATGCCTTATTTCAAGTAAACAGATTTTTGTATCACATAGGCAAGCAATTCCTGCAACAGGTGATGATCTGTACGCTATTTAGCTTTCTTTCTAGATGCTCATCATCGTATTTTTTTTAATGAGTAAGATTCAATTTGACATAGCTAGTATGAGTACTAACCCGGACTAAGCCAATGCAAAGAACTAACAAATTTGTTTCATAATCTCCCTTTAAGAAGATAATTATCACTTTTTAAATCTGTTTATTACTCAGTTTCATAATAATAATAATAATAATGGCCCATCTTCGCGAACGAAGATTTGGGGAAAGGTCTTTTACCTTTCCAGCCTGCGCAATGGATTTTTTAGGTGAGACACAGCCTGCGCTGAACTGAGCCCACCCTTTAATCCTAAGGTTCATCTGCCGGGGCCAAGCAAGCTTGGACAATGGCAGTGAGGTCCTCAGGACGTAGGTTTGTTTAGAGTGTCCTTCTCATAGATGGATGGCCACACAGGGCTAACGACCTCCATCAGGCCAGGAGACCGGGATTTGAACCCGTGGTCGCAGCAGTGAAAGTCCTGCACGCTAACCACTAGGCCACCAGGGGTCTCATCAGTTTCATAATATTTCATATTCAAAGTACAGACTGAAGTTTGATGGGGTTTGCATAGTAAATCAATTTTACTACAGCATCAATCTTATGTATAAAAAGACTGCTGGTCATTACTTGTTCCTACACACTGAAAGTTTTATTGGAAATCTGAGGTGATGATCCTTCAGAATAATTTCTGTGCCTTGGAGACAGCATGTAAGTCTATATAATTACAGTGGAGATGATGTCGAACTGCTGTATTGTTCAACTGAGCCTCTACCATGGGTGGAATATTCTACCATAAACTGGAATGGGTAAGTAGTGAGGACATGAAGACACCAACCCCAGAGAGGTTCAAAGCCCATCTGCCTCTGTTCCCCAGCAACCTGTTTGTCGTAGGTGACACAGCTTTAAGTAAGGGCATGGATTACATCATCTCAGATGTCCATCCTAATCTCATTCATTCTGTGATTTTCTGCAGTAATTGACTGGGAATTTAGCTTTCTAAAACCAGGCCTTACCGTGGTCCAGGGATGAATTTAGTGATACTGAAGGAGGAACCAGAGTACTACTGACAAAGGGAATCCTACTCTCCCTCCTTCCTCCACTGCACTTTCTACCCCTAAACAAAGCTACAGAGGTCCCCTTCTGTAGGCTCTGGACTCTCAAGAATACTGGCTGAGCAAATCAGCTCAATATCCTAGCACAGAATAAACAGAGCAAGAAAAGTGAAGCATTCACTGCTGAATTATGAGCTGATTTAACTCTTGGAACAGTCCAACAAGCTCATGCAAAGCAGGCAGCATGCATAAAGCAGGAGACTGAAGTGGGAGGAAGAGTGAAATAAGCCTCTTCCTTCAATGTAAGTTAAATTGATTTAGTTCTATTTGTAACTTCGTCCACAGAGATTCTGGAAATTTTAGCAATCTTAATTTTAATGTTATCATTACACTGCAGCCTAGCCAAACCTTATTACCAGTGTTGCCTTACTCATTATCCTTGAGCATACTGCTGCTGCTGCCTCCCAAATCAACATGGTTATGCCAAAATAAAACTCTCCTCTACCTTACACCACTGGAATTGGCTCACTGCAGGGCCAGAATGACATCTAAGCTGATATAAAGGAGGTGGCTGGAATCCCTCAGGAAGGGTCACAGCACTGGGATAGAGAGGGAAGATGTGGTAAACAGTAGCAGGAAGCAAAACAGAAGACTACGAAAATTATGTCAAAAACCTTAGATAAACTCATCCATCACCACATTTTTATAAGACTGAAATCTTCCCATCCTCAAAGCATTAAAGACTTGAAAAAAAAACTGTACAATTTTTTAATGCAAAATTACATTTTGCTACAAAATGTTTTCTTTTAATTGACTATTCCTTTAAGGATCAGTGACATCTTTATATTTGAATTAATTTGTCATCATCTGGACTTGTCTGTCCCTGCTAATAAGCTGAGCTGTAAGCAGTAACGAGCAAACATAGGCCAAAAAGCCCCCGAAATAAAAACATTTAAGTTAGTAACACTGAAAAATAACCATTATTGATATTTACATCTTTTTTTTAGTAGCAAAGATGTTTTAAAAACACATATTTCCTTAAATACTTTAATGCAACAGATTTCATCTCTAAATTGAATCAAATATTAAACATACTTCACCTTCTCCAGTTCTTTTGGTATCCGCATGCACGTGTACACTCTCTCTCTCCGCTCTGTGTATTTTGCTTCATTGTGTTCAAGGAAGTAACCTCTTGTTAGCTCAGCACTGATGAATCTCAGCAATGAAAGATCTATTCAGAAACACACAGAAGCAGAAGACACTTCAGGCATGATCTCCAAAGGGTGAGAAGCTGCTGTGCTTTTGTTACTTGTCTCTTGCTACATGTTTCATTTACAAGGCCTCTAACCCAGAAGGTTTCTGCTGATGGTTAAATAACTGTACTGAAGGAGTTGTATGAGAACCAAGTCCTTTGCTCTCCCCTTCATTACCCTGTTGCCTCCCAACAAACAATACAAGCTACTTTTCCCAGGCAACCCTTTCCATCAGATAACCCAAAACATTACTCAAAGCTGCTACACTGAATGCAATAAACTTAATTTATTGACAGTCCTCCTAAATTTACTAAGCTCCATTTTTGACTTCTTAAAAGCTATTTTCACTCTCAGCAACATTAGCAACCTTTTTTTTATTACAAAGAAAAACTTTCTGTAAGATCAAAATGTTCATGGACACATGATCCCAAGTCATTCAGTACACAAACAGTACAAGCACACTGAACATTTCGAGATCAGAACAAAGTCTTTCACAATCAAAAAGCCATCAGGCATGCACAAGTTTTCTGTGTTTTAATGCCTATATGTAAACAAGCTGAAGGCTGTCCGACCTATGTTTAGCCAACTCAAATGGCTTCTAAAAAAAGACTTTGCACAGAGTAGTCTTGCAAAATTATTAACATATGAAATTATGAAAAACATATGAAATCATAATTATGAAATTCAGGCTGTCAGCACAAAGAGGTTGAGCTTAAGCTTCAACACTCACTGACGAGGTCTGACATCACCACCTCCTTGTAACACTTAAGAAGTGACAGAACACTACAATGAAGTTCAGCATCTCTGGTTATTGGTATTTAAAAATAGAAACTCTCAGTGTTCACACAACCTTGAAAAGATGTAAACGACTGATCTAAACAAACAGGTGAAAAGCTACAGAGCGTCTACCATGACACAAGCACATGTTCACAAACAGTAAACTCAGATTTTAGCCAAATTCTTAGTGACTATTAGAGGTAGAAGGGACCTTGCATGGTAGAATGCTCCACATTTCTCTCAGGATGAAGAGGCTGTATAACAGTAATAGTAAAACTGCCTAGGTAACAGCTGGTAACAGAGGAATGCAAGTATGGACACTATGTATGAAAAGTTGACCCAAAACTATCTGAGGCAATGCCTTCTCAACAGTCACCACATTGAAGATGAAGACCATTAACATAAACAGTAGCCAGAAAATTATGAAGTGTTTCAAAGCAGAGAAGGAATCAGCTGAAACGGAAGTATACAAGAAGCAGAAGAGACAAGGTGTGCTTATAACCTACACTGCCTTGGGGGGACATGCACACTTACGTATTGAGTGTGATTAGAACTTGGGGGGATTACAAACAAGCACCTTGAAGTTTGTGGTGGTGTATTAATGTTTTTTGCGTGCCCGGTATTGTGATTTATCATATTGCCTATACTGATCACAGCTATATAACTCAGTAAGCGCAGGTTAATTATGTATTGTTAATAAATCATGATTTCCTTTAAACAAAGTGAACTGAATTGTTTTTCCCCTGGATGAGCTCGTTTGGATAGTGATTTTGATGATTTATACATTACTGATCCACTTCTGCTAGGCAGGCCAAAACCACTCTAAGCCTTAAAATCCTTTATTTTAAAACAAACAAACAAACATGTAGTTTAATGAGTAGTAAATAATATTTACATGTAAAGTTTCAATCAAAGTTCATTCTGTGAAATAAAGCAGAAATTCATACCACTAAATCACTGTTCAGATCTCTTGTGAGCACTATTACTTGTAATTTTTTTAGAAACATGAAAGCAAAGAGATAACTTTAGGTGTAAACACACTGAGTAACCGCTCTGTTAACTGCCTAGGTGTATTTTCTTCCCCCTAAGATAACTGACCTTCTCTAACTTAAAGATAATGCAACCTCAAGCAACTGAAGTTTCCTGCACAATAAATACATGCATATGGGCAACCACCACAGAGTAACTTATGGGTCCCTGTCAACTTGAGATAACAATGATTTTACCTAATGAGCTATTTGTTCCCACTCCTTCTTACCTCACACAAACTATTTCATAGGCCTATTGCTGAAAACCAAATGATTTTAAGTTTTCATCACCTGGCTACACTTTCATGCCCCGGATATTAAGCGATAGTCATCCTCATGACTGAGGTTGATCAATACACAAGCTCCAGACTGTGATTGCAAAATAATCTCCCCAGTGACAGGGGATGCACTGGAACACAGTCACTCAGCCACCTCCTTTCTGGGCACTCATTGCTGCCCAGCATCAGCCCTAGCCCTGTGCCAGCTGTGAAAAAGATTAGTGGCTGACCCTGTAGGAAAAACACAGTAACCAAAAGAACAGCATGAGATACCAAGGCAGGACAAAGCAATAAATCATTTGAAAAACCGCTTAATTCTGCTATCAAAGCATCAGGCAACATTTGCTTTTAAAAGTAAACACTCTAACTCCTACTTCAAATTCCTTCCCTACTTCAAATTTCCCTCTTTTGCAGTCAGAAAATTTTAGACTGCGGCCCAAGTTTAATCTGTTCAGATAGCAGATGCTTATAGTACGCTGATTTATCTCCTCACCTCAAGAGAGGAAAGCATAAGCAGCTTTGAAAACATAAAAGGCCACAAATTTCTTCAAGGTAAGAAGATAATGATTTACCTAAGTTATATTTCAATGCATAGCTACACAAAGGATAACCATTAACCAGAAATGCAGAGGAAAAGTTGTGCAAGCATGAAATGCACTGCGCTTCAATAAGTTTTTATTATATAATCATAACTTTAATCCCAAATGCAACAATTCCAGGCACTCACTTCACTCCCGTCAATCCTAAATAGACACTTCTTCCACAAACACACCAATTAATCAATGAAGAAAACACATATTTTAAAAAGCACTTCCTTCTTCTCTAAACAACTTCTTTTTACAGTACTAGTCCTGCTTCATCACCATGAAGAAAACCCTACTTCTATTACGTAACGTATTGCTACCCTTAGGTGAGTTAAGATTTTGAGTTGCTCTATCAAGAAGCCTATTCTCCTTACATTTTCTTGCCCTGAAAAGTCAGAGAGCACCAACGATTTCTAACTATTTTTAAATTTCAAATCTATTGGTGGAACATAGGTATTTTTCATTGCCTTCAATAATAGTTCCTTTATAAAGTTATTCAGCTGTCTGTCAGGCACAGCAGTATGTATCTTGATCATTCTTTTTTCACTTCAAGGCAATTCATATTACTACAATCAAGCCAATTCTTTTCTAACTATGGAAATTACATCACCATTACATTCTGTAGTGTTCGTCAACACCACAGAACTGCAGTCAATGATGCTGCACGTCTTATGACATAACACATCAGAAACAAACACAACACCCATCAAACTCAGAAGGAAAGTGTTCAATTGTTAAATTATTTTAATAAATCCTAATTCTTTTCTTTTATTTTGCATTTGCTAAAACCTGTGTTATCACACTCAAGCAACATTGAGGGAGAAAGCCCACAAAGTTGAACACTTCAAGCACTTTCCAGATTTTTAGCAAGCCAATCAATTAAGAATATGGTGCTAATAAAGTTATTTATAACCTTACCAACACTAAATCCACCCTGATACCAACCGCCAATTTTTACAAGAATAGCAGGACTATTTTAAAAAAATTACTTGGTAGATACCTGAAATAACCAGTTCAAGTGTGAATGTAAATATAGCTGTAGATTGATAGCAAAAGCAATGACCTTTTCCCTTTTTCCCCCCCTATAAATCCACAGTTAGTAAACTACACTTAGTTTAAAAGACTTCTAACAATCTGCGTACAAGTTCAAAGCTCCAACAGCACCGCTACTGTCAGTAATAGAGGCAAAGACCACTGTGCTCACAGCTGTGTGAATGCAACAAGAACTGGCAGGACGATGAAGCGTTTGTCGTACTTCACCAAGAAAGTTGAGCGAGCCCGCAGCCTCCCGGCCCCGGCTCTCCGCTCCTGTCACACACGCCGCCGGGCAGGACCGAACCTCACAGCCCGAGTTCCAGCTCCAGGGCACAACACACTCCAGGGGTGATGCCGGTGCTGCTCACAAACCTCCTGCCCATCACCATTTGATAAGCTGCGTGACAGGGCACGGGGACCCCACCGCCCGCGCTCCCCTTCCCCAACACGCCAGGGACACACCGGCCACGCCGAGAGGCTTCTCCGCACCGGGCGAGTTCGTGGGCCGAACCTACGGGCAGGGGCTGAGAGAAAGCTCCCCACGAGCCGCCCGCCGCACCGGTCCCGGTGCACTTTCTGAAGTCGCTCGCCCAAGTTCGCACAGGCGGCGGCGGCGCCCTCAGGCACCACCCTGGCACCGACCCCGGCCCCTCGGGCGGCGCTGTGAAAAGCCAGCACCGGCCACCCGCGCCGGGCAACACCACCTCGGCCACCCCGGTCCCCCGTGAGAGCCACCGCCGCCCGGGGCCCCGCGCTGCCGCCCGCAGGCCGCTCCCCGCGCCACCGCCCCTCACCCGACAGGCTCCGCTTCTTCCTCCTGCCCCGGTCGCTCTCGTAGAAGCCCAACGTCTCGGTTCGCTGCTGCGGAGACGGCTGCCCCGGGCCGGCGGCGGGCGGGCGCGGGTCGCTGCTGCCCCAGAGAGTTTTGGGCTCTCCGCGGCCGCCGTCCTGCCGCCCGTCCCCGGCAGTGCCGGGCGCGGTGGCGGCGTCGGCCACGCCGGCCATGTTCGCCACCCGCTGCGCGCCCGCCGCCCCCGCGCCGCGCGCCTGCCGCTGACTCATCACCGCGCGACAGCCGCGGGACCGGCCGCGCGCCGCTGCCCCGCGCGCGGGGGGCGGGGGCGGGACCGTCGC